ATTTAATATTGAGAAATGAGACCGCAACTTTGCCATGTTAATGTTGCTGCTTCTCTGAGAGGAAAGATGTTGCGTCTGGAACGGCTTGGTCCAGCGTTCAGCTGACTGTGTGATGCTCCCAGACCATCTCTCTGTGTATCGACCGTCAGCCACAAAGCCCTGCGTTCTCGCTGCCTGTACAACGTACACAATACCTAGAGTCAATAGAGCGAGGCGCTGCTGGTTAGGTTCATTTGAGGCCCTGCGTCCGCCAGGCTTAGTCGCAATCAACTGCAGCGCTGGGACAGCGACGTTGGAGTTGGAAACTACATCGTGCTGGAACTACGTCGACAGTATACTGGGACATGTACACCTGACGCAACCAAGGTGTGTTTGAGATTTATTGGAATACGCAACAGACAACTGTTCTCGCTGATGCCTTCATAGTAAGTGTACCATTGTTCTAAACCATCACTCCCGTTCCTACCTTTTTGGTTCTGTAAAGGGATATTCTTTAACGTAAAACCATTCGCTTATATAAATTTACTCATGCCCTTGTCTACATTCGACATTTGGCATAGGGTTGTTATGTCACTTTAACTCCATTTAAAATCCATACAACCTCGCATGGCATTGGATATCGTAGTTAAAACACTTTGAGGCGTGGTTTGATCAGTGATCAGAACGTCCTGGTCGAGTAACTAGGCCACAGGTATTTTGCTTCTGGTGGAGGTGGGTTGTGAAGAACGCTGGCACCTCCACCCCCTCCGGATAATGAGTGACGGTGGAATATACACACACCTCACCCCTGTAAACACAGTGTGCTCAGACCCCGCGAGGCTGAGCTAGACTGTATACTTTTAACTGCACCGACATTAGCGAACTGTTGGGCGAGGCTGTGTTGTTTAAGTCGGCAACATGGCCAATATAGAGCGGGATGGAGCTAATGAAAGACACAGATGGTCCCCGTAAGGTAATACCGCTTCAAGTTATCACTTGGCATGTTGCCAATGTATTCTGTGCATACGTCGACTGTCATTGTCAAATGGGACTTTGTCGTTGAGAGTTTGGATACTGTTTGAACAATATGTCAAAATGTAAGATTGAGGTGAGTTCTTGTATATATATGCGTCTGAAGATGACTGTCACGTCGCTATAGGTACTGAGCCTTTGTGAGTTAGAATACTCCATCATTTAACGACACTGGCGGTGCCCCCCCCCCCCCCCCCACCCACCCACCCACACACACACACAACCCCCCCCACACACACACACACACCCACACACACCCACACACACCACCATCCCCCCCCACACACACACACACACACCCCCCACATCCCCCTTAGATACGTTATATGTAAACTCCGCCCTTGGTCCAGTCACTTACCCATTATGTACAACCCCTTTTTTAAAAATTTGGATCTGCCTTTGAATAATATCTTACATGGTACAGTCTCAATATTGAATAACAGTTGCCATTATTTAATCTCCTTCAGAAACCTAGACAATTTGACTTCGGTGCACTCACAATGTAGCATGCGTTTGGCAGAGCAAGGATTTCCGACGAACCTCGTTTCATATCTATATTTGTATTCCACGGTCATAATGGTTTTAAGTTACATTCCTGTGTTTATCTTCTATAAGTTTCATTTCACGGTTTTCAGCATCATATTTCAATTGATATACCTGCAAATCTGGTCATGTGGTACATGGGGTCGGTTGAGTTGTTTTAATTCGCCGAATAATGAAGGCCCAAGTTCAATTTAATTGACGACTATCTCTCCTCTATCAGTGTTCCAGTTAGTGTGTACTCTTCATCGTGAAGCGTCATCATAATGCACTAACGATGTTCTTGGAGAACTCGATACAATCTAAAGCCTCGTCACAACACCATCCATGCTGCAGCTAATGAATCCGATTTCCGTAGGTTTCATTGTTATTGAGAGACAATGTATTTATTTACCCTTTGTGGGCAGCAATAGATCAAAGCCATTAAGCCGAAGCGTTGCTGGGGAGAACAAGTAGTGCACGTACCTTCGTCAGAGACCGGACTTCAATAGCGTCATCAAGGTCATGCGAATAATAATAATAATAATAATTGTTGTTGTTGTTGTTGTTGTTATTATTATTATTATAATTATTATTATTATAAAATTAAGGTTTAATAAAGGTTAAATTAAGGCAGTACATTCAACTGGTATCGATTTAGATGCAGTCATGTAAGTTATACTCTTGTCTCCGCTACTTGTTCAAATGCTCCAATTAACATACAATATAAAGTTATGTAATTGTATCAAATAACTTAACAGTTCACATAAAAGGTCAAAACAATGTTTGTGCTTGTTGTAATATTTAATTTTTCACATAAGAACACTGATCCAAATAAATGTTTTAATTAAAGAAATAATTATAGCGAATCATCTCAAATTTGAATGTACCTTTCAGTAGATTGTTACTAAAGAATGTATCTCTGTGTAAATATTTCCGTTTCTTATGTCCATCTATATATCTAAGCGACAAAACACTTTCCATATTCTTAAGAAAAAGCAGTATTATTGTAAGTATTAAGTATTTTCTGTTAAAAGCAGGGTCGATTTACGATTCCGACTATATCACGAGTAGGTGTCTATTAATCACCATCAAATAGTGCTGATACCAGGTGTTCAAGAATAGGTGAGCGTATCCTGACCCACCGGTGGCACCCGTCACAAACACACGCAAATACACCTCAATGACCCCCAATGCTATGAGATACAAATGAACTTTGAACTTATTAACGCAGCGTTGGCAGTCGCGCTAAAAAAATATTTTTCAGGCTGTTATATTTTCAATAGAACTCACTCATACAAGAATGGTTAATGGAAACCGTTAACAACATTGAGTGATGTTCCTCGCCGCATGCGTCCTTCAGTCGATCTTGTTTATCACAGGTGCCATGGTTCGTTTAGTCTCAAGAAACAACACACATACATCGTACATAGACGTATAGAATAGATCATGATGACCCGAAAATATGATGCCCTATTTAAAGCTGAACTACGCTTGGTCAAATTGGCAGCCCTGCCATTTTGGACTGAAGTCGTTCAAACACCAATTCGGTTCGATAATATTTTGTCATGCATATCAATTAACAGTTTACAATTACCCATTTCATGAAGACGTTATTAGGTACAACGTCAGAATAAAGTTTCAAGGCAGTGGATCACGGACCTCCATTCAGTATACCACACAACTGTAGGATGTAGGGAAACATGACTTCAGACGCACGCGTTCAGGCAAAAAACACTTTTTTATGTAAAGTGTGTGAGTAGCGGGTGCTACTGGAAAGGCAAGAACACCTGGGCCCACATGCACAAAGCGATCTTAGCGCTAAGATGATCGTAACTCCCATACTTTAACATAGGCTTCAGATAATCTCAGCGCTAAAATGGCTTTGTGCATGTGGCCCCTGGAAGTTAACATATATACATATTTTTTTTATTTTACATAATTTATAAATTATTATAAAAATATACTGATACCGGTATTTATCCTTTTCGCGAACACCTGGCGTCACCACTGATTTTCAGTTATCCATTCATATAAATTCACCGCTATTTTGCCTTTTACGCCAAATTGAATCTGTTTCATCAGACAATCGACACTGGTTATTCTATGGTATTTTATATTAAATTCTACAATTCTTTCAAATAAGCATACCTATCTGCAACATCTGTTTGATGCATTCATGTACTGCATCCGCATTAAGATGTAATTACACAGAACATGTAGATACTATTTCACAGAGAGGCAGCTAGAAATCAATAGAGTTGTACATGATTCCGTGAGTATTGATCAGTTACAATCCTACATTGTACTGAACTGGAATTCTATCCCGCATACAACTCGTATTAAATTCTTGCGTTTACAATCTGTTTCATATTTGCAGATATGGATGGGGGAATGTGTGATTGCGCATCTTTTTTAAAGCTTATCTGTATATGAATAACAACGGAAGCATGTGTCAGTTATTACATGTGTAGAGGGAGGGCTGTCTAAGAGGGGGAACGTGCGTGACGTCATTGACCTAAAATTCATTTGAAATCGTTTGGTATTGTTCCTGCTTCGAAGCCAGGACCGCTGCCATTCCAAAGCAATAAACCATGAAGTTTTGTAACTATACATGTATTCTAGGTCATGGTGGTACAGCATTGTAGTCTTCGTGGACAATCCATTACCTCAGTCAAGGAGGAATGAAATTCGTGACTGTAGTCAGGGGGTTAGACAATCTGTAACTGTAGTCAAGGAAAACGACAATCTGTAACCGTAGTCAAGGAAGTAGACATTCTGTAACCGTAGTCAAGGAAGTAGACAATCTGTAACCGTAGTCAAGGAAGTAGACAATCTGTAACCGTAGTCAAGGAAGAAGACAATCTGTAACCGTAGTCAAGGAAGTAGACAATCTGTAACCGTTGTAAAGGAAATAGATACTCTCTGTCTTTTGTACAGTTCTCAATTCTGATATCAAATCCTTTTCCTTGAGAATATGAAATGTTTAAATAAAATCAAGGAAGTAGACAACCGTAGCCAAGACTTTAGACAAAAACCATGCGTTATTTGAAGGTTTTGGTTGTTGTTTCTGGACCAGACAAACCAGTGATTATATCATGAAAAAGCCCAACGCCGTCTGGGTACAATGCCACGTTTACAATACCCGTCTGACCGACATACTCGACCGATGGTCTGCTTGATTTTGTTTTGCAGATGTGTTAATAAAAAAGAATTATGACATTAGATAATAACCTGATATTAATATATTGCAGAAAAACGCAATAATTACTGATCCACGATGCATGATCAGCTGATGATTCTTGAGAGTGTTATCGACCTTGGCTAGTAAATTTGTACATCCAAACACAGCGCGGAGGAAAAACAATTTTGGCTTGAACAGAGAAGGCCGCGCGTTGGTTATTGAATATTGCGATGCGAGTCCGTTGAATTCACGTATAGAAGTTTGTCTTGCCACATTATAACAGTGTTTGGAATTAATTACGCATACCAGTCCGACTGTCTGGAATGAATCTTAATTTGAAACACTACACGCCATTGACCAAGTCAGCGAGTCTGACCACCCGCTTCAGGTAATCGCCACAAGAAAATAAGAGTGTTAGATGATAAATTTTATTAGAATGTGATAAGTATGGACATCTTAGAGAAAAGTGTATTCCGATGTTTAACAACAGGCATAAAAAACAAGATGTTAATGATCAGTATAATAAATTCCAACAACTCTGCTATTATACGTTCATAAGCCATATTGTTGAAACATATATTCTCTGTGAGTTTTTATATAATTATCATGTATATCATGTGACTAAACAAATGAAACCTACCTACCCTCCTACCTACCTACCTACCTACCTACCTACCTACCCAACCACCCACCCACCCACCCACCTACCCA